TTAAAAACTTTTTTTAATATAATACTCTTTTGTATGACGTCACCTGTACGCTCACAGCACCGAAAATTATTACTATCCTTTCCACTTTTGCTTTGACTATACTTTTCTCCTTTTAACATTAAGAAATAGAAAAAGATAGCCATAGCGATTAGTGACAAATAAGTAGGTAAACAAGTGTATTACGTATTATCCTGATGGGTGAACAACACCTAGCTCCTGCCCTGCCGCAATCGTCAACGTCATATCATGTCAGTCATATAGCGATTTCATTTGTACCTGTTGTTAAAACGAGAAGAGTATAGTCAAAGTCGAAAGTGGAAAGAATAGTAATCATTTTCGGGGCTGAGAGCATATTGGTGACGTCATACTTAAGAGTATTATATTAAAAAAGTTTTTAATTGATATCTTAAAAACTGTTCGGTATTAAACATTAGCGCAATGTTAACTTTTGTTAAGAATGACTGCCTCTACACAATATCAAAAATTCAGCCAAATTCCACATAGATCACTTTTCCATAAGAAATGTGCGGGGTCCTTTTTCGTTTCTTTTACATATCACAACCTACAACCTCCTTTAAATTTCCCTAATATTTGCTATGTTGGGCGCATGTCCAGTAAGTAAAATTGAGTAAGTTTCCACAACGTAGGTCCTATTTGTTTTTCATTTCGTTTTTCAGAAGATTTGTTGTTTAAAGGGTAATTGAAAATTCTCACCGTTCAATCTAACTGAATTAACCCGGGTATGTTATACTACAAGTCCTTTGCAATTGACAAGAAATGTCAGGATTTTTGACCGGTTGACAGGTCGCAAAACTCAATATTCTGGTATTTTAATTGTTACAATAGTTGAAATCAATAAATACCAATGCGGGAAACACTTTTCCGGCCTGGGCCGGGAAAGTGATTCTCGTACTGCTGAATAATTGGAACAAAAAGACAGACATTTAACAAATATTTAACCTATCGCAGAAAAAAAAGTATGTGTATTTCGGTGGAAAAGCACATTCTCGGCCTTCGGTATTTGCCGGCCTCGGCTACGCCTCGCCCGTCAACTTACACCGTCGGCCCAGAATATGTCACTTTTTCACCTAAATACACAATATACTATTATGATGAACAAAATGGTTTTGCCTACCTACGGGCACTTGCTAAATTAGTCAAAATTATATGCGAATTTTAACTGAAATAAGTTTACACTATCATATTATATCTGCACCAATCTCAGTTAATTTTCAAGACGAAACAGATTTCACACATGTCAAATTTGTGAATTGCACAAATTAACGATTTCTATTCATATTCAAAGAGTTTTCGCTTCTTGTTTTTTGTTCGTTCGAATCTTTCACATAATCATTATTTAATAATGTTCATAAATGCGTTTGTAATGAAAATAACTATTATTTTGAACCGTATATGTAATTTCACATTCCTTACTGGTTTGAAGGTTCGAAAATGTCAGTTTACTTTTGTTTACTTTAAAGCAGGCCGAAAGTGACTGTTCTCCTGTCACTTTCGGCCTAGAGAACTCACTTTTGGCCCTGATAAATTGTTCTTGCACACCTAAACACAAATCCAGGTGTAATGTTTGTATTTAGAAGTAGATGTCACGTGTGTTTGTATTGTTGAAATTTCATAAGATGTCAATGTCGGTGTCAGACTGTCAGTCGAAATTCCATTTTTGTCATATTTTTACCTTATTTTTTTTAATGTCCGACTGGTATATTATTCGAGAAATAATGACATTATGTCAAAGTCAGTTAAATACGAAATAATAACCTAGGGCATTATTTTGAAAAATAACGCCCTAGGGCGTTATGACTACTTTTTCAAATAGGAAATAACGCCCTAGGGCGTTATGACTATTTTTTGGCAGGTACTTGATTTGTTTTAGATTAATTTATTCAAAATTCATTCAAAATTTTCTCATATAAAAAATAATTAAGTCGGGCATTAAACGTTAAAGGACCACGGGTATTAACAATATTAACGCTTTCGGTCAACGTATATCCCTCGGGCCAGAGGCCCTCGGGAAATACACCATTGACCTCAAGCGTTAATATCCTTATAATACCCTTGATACCTTAATAACTATAATAAATTATTGGTTCAAAATAAAATAGTATAGATATTTCGGTGGAAAGTTTTCATATTATATTGTCTCGAGAAATCGTATCTCTCGATAATAATGAAACACTTTCCACCTCCGCATGTAATATACTATTTAATTTCTAGGTACAGTGGGAATCATTGCAATTGGCACACACTATATATATATCCCTCGTAATGTGTCAAATCTGACACACAGTAATAGCAAAATGCTGCACTAAATAGATTTATTGGTTAGAATTTTGACTTATTACGAGGGATTTTAAAGAGTGTGTGCCAATTGCAATGATTCCGACTGTACATAATGGACCAAACGTCATTGTTGGTTGCTCCAATCCCAATTATCACAGTGAAAAGTTACTCGGCTAAGAAGGGAAGTCAATCCTAGATGCCTGAATAAATCACAGAAATGAAATTCAAAGAAATCCTAGGGTGTTGTTACAAAGGCCAGCGGAATTCGAGACTTAAGCTTTATTATGAGCATTATCTCGTTCTTAATTTTTTTGCCATGTCAATTGAATGATTGAGTGATATTGTCCAACATGCTCCCAAGTATCTAACAAAAAAGTTAATTCTACAATTCTACTAATGTGAACAGAATGCACGATCTAGGATTTATGTTGGTCTTTTCCGTTGCCTGGTCAATAAATAATCAAAATCGATTCCTACAAGTGAAAAATAGCTATTAATCTGACAAGTTGCAAATGATCACGGTTTTTGCACTAAAAGTGAAGATTGGACCTCCCACATATTGTGTGCAAATAACCAGCCATTTTGCTATATGTTTCTTGCAAGAATTTTTATAATTCATTTGAAATATTTGAAATTTAAAACCTAAACTTATTTTAAGACTGACACGATACACACTTTTAATCCCGTTCTCACACTCACTGATAAAATGAAATATCTCCCTTACACTTCATAAGAACACAATGCCCAATCAATGCCAGAAAGATGACTTCTCGTAACTGAATTACAAAAACATATATTTAATTTTCAGCGAAGCAAAATTTAGCTTCTATTTATGCTCAAGAAAATTTAATACGATTAAATTTCCCATTTTGCTTTATAGTACCATTTTTAGTCAAGTCATAAACTTCTGGAGCTCAAGTAGCATCTTTTTCGTAATAGGACATTTTATTTTATATTTTCTCATGGAAAGGTAGTAACGTGAAAAGAGGATAAGATTTTACGTTTTTTAAAGTCAGCGAAAATTTTCGATCAAATAAAATATTGCCTTCCATTTAAGCACTATATGTATACGAATTTGCTGACAGCGCGACACCTAAATAAAATTAAATTCTCAATTCATGGTTGTATTTGGCAACTTTTGCGTTCGAAACCTAAAATACAAATTAACGAAAATTTGGAAGTACATTGGCGAGTATAGACAGCTTGCCTAACGAGTTTGCGAAACCATGATAATATGGCCCCTGCAGCAGAGAGTTGATAGTTTTCAGGAAAATCTGGCACGGCAACTTTGTTGAAAGGAATCTGGAGTCCGGTTATAGCCATCGCTGCTAATGAGATCGTTTTTGAATTAGATTTTGCTTGTTACATTTCTCATTTTTATAAGATTGTTACGGCTTGAAATTATTATCAGTGGCAATTTAATATTTTCCGGCCGAACTAATATTTTTGAACTTTCCTCATCTTTAACTTGGTAAAGTTATCAAAGTTTCTTTCGTTTTGTTTGTTGGCAGATTAGTAATTAAAAGTAAATAATCTTATCAATTGGAGTTCTTGCAGTCAGTAGTATCAACAAGTCAACATCTTCACCGAAACGATTGCTGTATTTGTTTTATTGCATTATTCCATTGCTGTTTCAATTATGAGGACATCAGTGTCATTATCAGCTTGCTTAACCAAAATGTTCGTAGTGGTAAATTGTTCACAGAGCATTGAAATGAAGCAAGACTTATTATGAGTATTTGCAAGAAATTGTTCTTGGTTTGTTGGAGCTTTCATAAATTCATCAAAAACGACATCAAAATATAAAGATGTTTTTGTAGTCCAACGACGTTCTTCTGCAGCTTTAATATTTTTCTTATAATCAGTATAACCATCAAATACTATAGACACGTTATGGCCAAAATGTATATGTAGATATTGAACGTATTTATTAAAAATAACGTTAAATGTGTCTTCTCGATCCCACACAACGCGATGTAATACATATACTTAGACCCTGAGATAGGGCTTGTTTAGTGGAGTCATTTTTTTTTTTTTTTTTTTTGTCTGGCATTTTGAGGGCTGAATATGGATAGTTAGCTGATGAGAATATAAGTGGTTTTAATGCCTGCTCTTTGTTCGAAATGTCCATAGAATGTTTCACCGGAAAACTCGATTTCGAACTAATCACAGTCACCGTCTGGCGATTTTTCAGCGTTTATTTTCACAACAAAAGCTTTTATTCTCTCGATTGCCAGACAAAAAGTAAACGTGGAAGGTTCTTTTCTTCTCTCTTGGAAGTTGACACTCATCCCCACTTTTTCAGCTATTGAAAAGCATTTGTTATTTTTACGGGTGAATTATTTATCAATGTCAATCTTTTATTTAAAAGCCAGAAAATTTGAGATCATTAAAAAAAAAATTCTTCACGTAAATCAATTTTTTTCTTCTCCAAATTTTCGAACTGGGAGCAGGCATTAAGATCACCCATATTCTCATCAGCTAACTAGCTATATTCAGCCCTCAGGATGCCAGACAAAAAAAATGACTCCACTAACAAGTCCCTATCTCACAGTCTAATACCCTCCATCGATGATGTAGGTAGCATGTGTTGTCAATTTCAATGTTCACAGATTTAAAGCAATTCCAAATGCATCAAATAGTAATAATAGTAAATAGTAATAATGGGTAGGGGGCAAATTCATATCCGAAGAACTTTTCACGTTCATCTTCAAATGTCTCAGTAATACTCATGCGTTGAAATAATAATATAGGGTCCATAGGTGCCGTCTTATCATGAACTTTTATGGTGCTACTCATTGCTAAAAGAGGGAGGACTTTGTAAGCGCGTTTTAATTTAATATTATTGAATGTTTGTCCTGTCATTTTATTTATAAAAGCAGTTACAACTTCACGAGTATTATGATAATTGATTAAATTATTACCAACCACTCCACTGGCAACTGATATGATTTTTGTAACCTCAGGGAATGGATCATGTGATAAAAACCACTCGTGCAGTTCATTAATATCTTGCATATCTCTCTTCATACGTGAATCACTTGCATCTACATGCTGATCTGTTTCCAATCTAACATTAGCGAGTTCTTCTAATCCTTCACACATAGTATTCATCGCATGCATGCCATAAATCCAATTACTTATGATACTTTCTTGCGTATTTCTTCCTCGAAAAATACCTCCATCTTTCTTCATTAATTTCATCATTGATTGTTCAATCACCATATCTGTCGAGGTCCCGCGATTAAATTTATTAGAACGTCTAACAGTGAAGAATCCGTTTATAAACCTTTGGTTAACACTAGGATCAATTAGGTTTTCTAATTGTAGGATATCTTGTAGATATGAGTGCGCAGACTTAGCATAAGGAAAATGCCCTGAAGCATTAAAGTAAGGAAGCATTTTTTTAACGCTATAATTCAAATGAGCTTGTCATTCTCCCATAGTTTCAGCTCTTATAAACTCGTTTGCAATTGACACTATATAAAAATATTGTACCCATAGTTTTGCCGTAGGACCTCGTTCTTCGCATATGCCTTTAGTTTTTGATTGAACTCATCAAGTAATCCTACAGCTATTTCATAACCATTTTCAATATCATTCTATGAAATAGAATTATTTATAACATTTTCGACAATATCATTAAAATTTGCATCCATTTCATCATCAATTACCTACAAGTTCTTTTGATGTTATTGTTGAGATGAAGTAATGTATGAGCTCTAACAGCTCTCGCGTAAGCATGGCCATTGGGCATTTTTTCCAATCAGTTAGGTGCATAAACTAAAGAAAGTACCTCTTTTATGCCACTTTCTTGCATAATATGACCAATTGCTCCAAAAAACGACATAACTAAATGAAAACCTCCAAGTCTTATTATGATCTTCGATAATTCAGATCCTTCCGGTGCTGCAGATACGATTTCCGAGATTTTGCATATAGGGGTTGATCAAAAGTTATAATGCATACATCGTGGCCATAACGTTTTGCATTCTCCAAAGCACAAAGTAAAGTTTTGTATAATATAGTATTGTAGTTACTGGCTGGTTGATGAATAAATGGTAAGAATGTAATTTAGGATTCACAAAAATTCATATTATTACTTGATAGGCGTTCAATATAACCATTCCAACCGGGTAACGATAATTTTTTCCATTTTCCATATGACCATAGCACATCGACTTTTTTGAGTAAAGATACTGTTGCATCACTTTCATAAACAATATTTGGCACATATATTTCACTTAAGCCTGCTACACCAGCATTTCAATAGACTCGTATTGGCACATGAGCTTTTGTTGCGAAATATTTTGCTGGAAGGATTTCATTTATTCGTGATATAGGTTCTTCTACTTCTACTGAACTTTTCGGAGTAACAATTTGTATGATACCCATTATGTGCAGCGTGTTATGACCATCTAAAGTATATACATTTATATCAGCATTGTCTGCAACAAATTGAATAAATGATGAGGTGCAGGATGAAGAACTGCTGCTGCCTCATTCATAATAGTTTCATTATAGTATGCACACAAACCAAAAGACGAAAAAATCTCTATAAGACGCTTTGATCCAAAGCGTCGATGAAAAAAAAACTGAGAGACCCAATTGCAATTTTGATTTGAAAGATCTAGGCCGAACAGCAGTCATAATACAGGGGCTGTGTACAAGTGTACATATTAGTTTTAAATATTCTAATTCAAATCGTTTATTTTTCAAAATTATAGGTCAATGACTCTGGAATATCACTGTTAATATTTTGAAACATTTGACTAGGTGGAGGGTAATCACTATTATCATTTACTTTAGATTGAATATCCTCACGAATTTTTGCTGCGGCAGCTATCAGTATTCTAAATCTTTCTTTTTTTTTCATTTCTTTTTTTATTCTCATACCATCTTTTGTTGAAAACATCATGCTGATTGTCAATAAAACGGATAAATGTTAAACTTTTTGGTTTTTCTGTTATAATAATTTTGTTACCATACCTATCTATAGCTGGATTCTTCGATTTTTTTTTTTTCTTCAAATGAAAATTGACAATCATCACTATTTTCAATGTACCTATGCAAATATTTCTTCCATTGCAATATTAATACAATAATCTTGCGGACGACCGATTTTACCTCCAGTGGTGGGTCTCAAGTAAGAATTATAACAATTATTATGGTATTTAGCCTCAGCAGCCACTAAATCATATTCATACTGAATGCGTGCAATATCAAATTTTGATAAAGTATCAAAACGAGCCCGAGCTACCTTTAAAATAGATTCTTTAAATATAAGCGTAGCAACTTGATAAATTTTACGCCGAAAATTCTGCGATTTTTTTTTCGCAGCGTCTTCATTTGCTCCATCGCCGCAAAATAAGCAACATTTTTTCAAACAAAAAAACGACTCACTTACGTGCGGTCTAGTACGAGGTGGACTATTCGTAGATGTACCGGGTTGTTCTATGTCAAGCTGTCTTTCAGCTGCAGCAGTACTACTTTTTCGAGAGTACATTTTACGGCACTTCCCATGAATTGTCACAGATTGCTTGTCTTTCAGGTATTCAAGAAACACATCTTTTCTTTCAATACTTAAATCAATCAGAGTCTTCATTCCACGGTCAACAACAATAATTTCACTTTCAGTCAACGATATCTATACTACAAACAACGCAAAATTGCGACATTTTCAAAAAACTATTGAACCCTCAATTGAACCGCACAAATTTAAATAAAAATTTATTTAATATTCATTCGGAATCATAATATAATTTGTACGAATTTTAGTGTACGAGTTAGATCAATTAATATTTTTATCAAATTGAATGTCCGATGATGTATACAGGCCGCGTATAAGTGCATGTTAATATTTTCGATATTTGAAATTGCCTTATCTTACGAATGGTGATTCGTAGGAAAAAAGTCTAAGAACCATTTTTGTATAAGTACCAATGTTTAGCTCTATGCGAATTTTTGTTATTTAACATTTACCCACCTTTTTTTTTGTTTATTTTGGCTGAAGTATAATGCCAGTGACACTATTTACCCGATATGTACCTAGATGAGAGAGCGTTAAATTTGCTTCGGCAAACATGTCAATTGTTTGCAAAGATGATATAATTAATAATTTGAAACATGATTGTGGACTTGCATTACCTTCATTTGCAATAATCGGAACTTTTCGACCGGTGGAGTATCGTCGCTAATCAGTTATCAAGCTAAAACTGATACAATTACTTACTAGCTACGAGTTTATTATACTTACCTATACAATGTTAACTGCAATTGCTATGAATTTTCATTTCTTCCTGGAAATCACGGCTTAATACTTTATGAAAAATTTATATGAATTGGATTGTTTGCGTATACGTTGCTTGAATTTGCATTTGAACCAGTGTATGTATTACGAGAGCCATATCATTGCGGATGACTGCTGGACTGACCATCGGCTGATACAAACCAGAATGAACTTCCGCATCTCACCAAAGCGTATATGTCAAAAAAAGCAGTTCAAACGCAAATTTAACATAGAATGCCTTCAAGACGATCATATCAGGACAAACTTCCAAACCTCTCTAATCCAGAAAATTCAGTTGAGTTCCCGGAAAGTATTGAGGAGCACTGGAAAATTCTGAAGACCGCGATAACATCTGCTTCGGAAGAAAAGGTCGGCTACATACAAAATAAACATAGGGACTGGTTTGATGAGAACGTCACGGACATACAAGAACTCATAGAAAGAAAAAGCAAAGCGCATAATGCATGGAAAAACTACCCCAGCTTAACTGTAAGCAAAAGGCAATACCAGGAAGGAGAAGCAGAAGTTCAAAGGCAAACGCGAGCATTGAAGAACCAATGATAGGTGAGAAAATCGAACAGAATGGAGCAATTAGCTGAATCCAACAGCACCCGGGCCTTCTTTCAGGCTACTAATGGCGTTTTCCATTTGTCGTCTCAGTGCAGCATTCAGTGCGCACGATAATTTTTCTAGTGCTGTCAAAAACGCGCACCAGTGCAGTATAAATGGAAAGCAAAAATGCAGGCTCGGTTCGGATTCCCCAGACTTTTTTGGAGTTATGTAAAATGTTGATTTGTTGTTTTTGTTAGCACTTGCCGTTTTCTTCTTCCTGCTCTGCATATTTTACTGTAATATAATAGGTAGTCTGGGCTGTCGTTCTATGGTTTAGGTTAAGTACATTATTTAAAAAAAATTATGTATTTCAAATGAATCTTAGAATTATGAAGAAGTCATACAAATTCAGTTCGATGTTCCAGATCATTCACTTGAAATAACAGCTTCTTTCCTGCGGTTTCACCCGCCGTTAAATTTAGAAGAAATTGCACTATCCATAAATAATTTAGAGTACTTCGCATCAAAGAATATTTTCAAACAACAATAATAATATATCTAAAAACAACGTAGATAAGCTGCGGAATTCGTTCAAATAATATAATTTCGTCATCGAATTCAACTTCGTTGCTGCTACATTAATTAAATTAAAAACTACATTAAATCCAAAAGTGCAACAACTTTTTCTTTGGAAATTAGCAGACATTTTTATGTACGGTACAAGTAAACAAAAACAAAACAAACTGCACTGGCTCTCCACGAGCCTTCCTAGCTCATGCCAAAAAATGCGCACTGAGTGCATACATAATTGCACTGAATTTCAAATGGAAAATGAAAACTGAAAATGTGCAGTCAAATGGAATATAAAAATTGCACTGAGTGCACCTCCGTGGAACAAATGGAAAACGCCATAAGATGGTGTACGGACCAACCACTCAAGGACTTAATCCCCTACGATCCAAAGATGGTGCAAGACTGCTTAAAAAGACAATTCCTACATTAATTCTCGTTGGAAGGAACACTTTCAAGAACCACTCGTCAGAAAATCACAAATTAATGATGACATCTTCAACGAAGTTTCTCAGAAACCAGTACAACAAGAACTGAGCAATCGCAGACAACTAAAAAACAATAGGTCAGCTGATACTGACGGCATTCCTGCGGAATTATTTAAACAAGGTGGCCCCACACTGAATACCCAAACCCACATTCTAATAAGTAAAATATGGATTTCTGAGACCATACCTGCTGAACTCAGATATGCCTCCATAGTTGCAATTTC